TATCTGCAGCCAGACGTTGGTGATCATCACCTGGTTCTTGGAGTCCACGTTGATGATGGCGCTGAGAGCCAGAGTGAAGTTGATCTGCAGGGAGTCGTTGGTGTTGATCACAGGTCGGATCAGGTTGTTGTAGCTTTTCCCAACAAACAGGTCATGGTACAAACGTTTCTGATGGATATCTGAAAGATAGCCAGTATTCTTGTTAACTCATTGCTTATCTGACTCATTCAAGGGTTTCTGGTAGATATTTGAACTTTTTCACACAACTCATGTCATACTAAACCCATCTAAGAGCTTTGGATGGATCTCTGAAAGAAAGCCTGTATCTTTTATTTTTAACTCATTGCATACCAAAAAACAATGTATAATATCCGAGAATATATTTCCAGCATGCGTAACAAAAGCACGACACTCTGAAAATAGCAGTTAATTTCGTCCAAAGCGTCTTCTTCTGTGTTTGTTCTAAAAAAAAAAGGTGCGGTTGGCACAATGTGTTGAGTTTTATATCTAGGCTGCGATTTCCAGAATTCGCAAAATGCTAAATTAGTCGCCTGATACGACACGCTTGTTAGAGAGCAGTGGGTCTATTCTTTTTTTTCAGATCAAAGTGGACCCCAGTAATCGTGATCAAGTGCCTTGCCGACTGGCGTCGGGGATCATACCTGCGATCTTCAACTGCATGTATCAGTTTGTGTTATGACACCCATCCAAGCAACGACATGAGGCTGTCATGAATCTTCTTGGCGTGACTTCCTCTGTTTCTCTGTCCAGATCTTTCCAGTGATCACAACATGTTCCAGTTTCATTCATCTCATAACATGGCCCACACAATTTTGACTGTCTCTTTCTCATGTTTATGATCAGATAATAAGAAACTCCACAGGGGAGCATGTCTACCAATCATCAGTCGAATTGTTCCCTTGTCCACAAATGTTTCGGCCCACGAACTCATAGACAATCTCAGAGGATGGGTCCACCTGAGTTCATGAAGCTCAGTGTTGATCTGCTCCTGTTGCACGTATTACTGGATGTTCTCGGACAGGGACAAGACGAAATTAGTGACTATGCAACAGGCACTGTGAGATTCGAAGTATATTTATAGTCGTTGTGGTAGCCTTCTAGATCAGTCGGCAAACCTTCACGACCAAGTGGCAAGCTTACGGTTGGTTTATCGGACACACGTTGGACTTTGTTGGCAGTTGGCAGAGGGAAACGGGCAGACAATTTGGACACGATGGAATTAGGAGATGAGACTTTTTTTCGACTAGACACCCGCAGCAGCCTACAGAGGTCCGTCCCCCACGACGTTCCGTTGTGTCCAAAGCCAACTCGAGGCTCTTTCAGCAGCTTCGCCTAGTTGTTTTAGTGATCGTTTGCGCTCGTTTCCTCGCCAGCCTAGCTGCTTTATCACATTGTACATTGAAGAGGAGATGAGACCCTTTGCACCGACCTCGACGGCGAAGATTCTTACTGTGTCCGCTTCGTCTCTGCTCAGATCAGCCGCGAGGTCACTATATTTCACGAGCTTATACATGAAAATCTCGTCCATTCGTGACTCATACGCCACGGTCAGCTTAATCAGAATGAGCTGTCGTTCGTCCTCAGAGTGTAGGACTATGTCGGGTCGTTGGCCGGTCTTCCGGATTAACTATGGGTAGTTTTCGTGACCAGGCAAGTCGACCGCCAAAACGAGTCCCTCGCAAAGTCAAGCATAGGTGGAGCGTATGCGGCCTTGTTGAATTTAATAAATTTTCTTACGGCCGTCGCTTCTTTCTGAACATCTAGATTGTATTTTGGGGCTGTCCAGGGAATTGTTAGGATTCCTGTGTAAAACAACATCTCCCAGGTCTTACATAATATCAGATCTAATTATTCAGAATTCGGAATTATTCTGGAATACATATGCCAGTAAAACGTGGACCTTAACAACTGAACTTGACAGAAATATACAGCATTAGAAATGCGATGTTTCAGAAACATTCTTGGCATATCATACAGAGACCTTATTACAAACGAAAAGGCTCACCATAAAATTATACAGCACACTGGCAACTGTGAACCTCTTTTAACTACAATGAAAAGGCGAAAACTGCAATAGTATGGACATGTAATAAGATCTAACAGCCTCTCAAAAACAATGCAGTAGGGCTCAGTAGGGGGTAAAAGGAGAAGAGGCAGACCAAGAAAGACCTGGTTACAGAACCTGACTGACTAGACAGGCCTCAAGCATGCAGCCATGAAGTCCATCGCAACTGACCGCTAAAGATGGAGAGACCTGATCAGACAGTCAACAGAAACTGGTGACCCAACGACACGTAGTAGTGCGGTATGATGATGATGATAATAATGATGATATGGGGGGGGGGGGGGTGCAAACTTAGACAGGTCATGTCAAGTAGAAATATCTATTGCATGGGATCAGGGTGCAGACTTATGAGCAGAACAGAGAACTCAACCACCCTGCCGACTCCTTGCATAAGCTGAGCTTTGCGTCAACTATGGGGTCGAGGGGAAGTGGAAAAGGGGGGGGGGGGGGGCTTTCTCGTGTTTATGAAGCTGCAGTAGTTAGCAGACATGTTCTTGAAGCTACATGCCGCCGTTACAGAGGCTGGGGTCAATAAGTGGAGCACGGCGCACTGCTTAAGAGCGGGGGATTTCCACAGATGAACCCGACACAGGTAGAGGACAAGCTTGGGCAGTAACACATCGTCTCATTGGCAATACAGGAGCATCCGCTATTTCCAGCAAACTTGTTCTAGAGAAGCTGGGAAAACAGTTCATTGTGTAACATGAGCGGTTCAGGTTGAACTGAAATAACTGTGTCAGGCATAAACAGGCGAGGTGTCAGGCATAAACAGGCAAGGTGTCTGGCATAAACAGGCGAGGTGTCAGGCATAAACAGGCGAGGTGTCAGGCATAAACAGGCGAGGTGTCAAGCATAAACAGGCGAGGTGTCTAGGATTTGCACCTGTTTTATGTTGTTATATCTTCCAGACTGTGACCCGGGGAGACGAACACATGAAGCAGCGTATTTGATTATTGAATAGTCCTGCCTAAGGCTAGAGCAGCATCTGGCCGAACAGTAACAATGCGGGAGACCCATGTTCGAGTCCACGATAAAGTGTTGGATGGGGTTTTTTTTTTCTGTCGCAGGTGAAAGCACAATCATTATCTACACAGTCAGTGGCGACAGAATTAGGAGTAGTAGTACATTTTTCAAGAGATGAACACCCGACGACACAAAGTGCCACCCTGCGGATGAGGATCACCCGTGGAGAGGTCCCGGAAACAGCGTTCAGTCATTGGACCATCTTTATGGCCAGGCTATATTGCGGCCCCTGGCAAGAGCCAGTGTGGGGCTTCAAAATAACGAAAAATTGCACCCCACAAGGGGATGACGAAATCAATATTTGGTGGCGACAGAATTGTCATGTGGTCTTAAATTCTCAGGCTCACAGAGCATACGCCACAAAAGTGGTCAATACAGACAGTGTTGGTTTTAACTGTATAAGGCTAACAAACGGCTCGCACTGATAGAAGTGTTGCGAAGAAAGTGAAAGTATCCTTGGCTAGACGCTTTCCAACAACAAAACCACTCGATATGTTTTACCTATCTGATGAGAAAAGAAACTTGTCACAGTAATACAGGTCTCCTATTAATCCATGTACATACACATTCATATATAAAATGATCATATGGCACTACAACGTACGTTTGTAGAGACCAAATCTGCACTTGAGGTGAATGTTCTAGATAGTGATCCACACAGATAAATGGTTCTCAGATTTACTAATGCCGCGACCCGTTAGTACAGTTCCGTATGTTGTGGCGACCCTTTAATACAGTTCCTCGTGTTGTGGCGACACTTTAATACAGTTCCGTAAGTTGTGGCGACCCTTTAATACAGTTCCGTATGTTCTGGCGACCCTTTAATACAGGTTCGTATGTTGTGGCGACCCCACCATACAATTATTTCCGTTGCTACTTCGCACATGGAAAAGAGAACGTGCTGGCTGTTAACAACGAAAATTGACAGTGTTGCAAATAATAAAAAATGAACATAGACCTGTGGGAAATATCGTTTCCTACGAAATGGGGTGAATTTCGTAATTTTCGTGATATGTACCCAAATTCTTTTTTTTTAAAACCAGTCCTCCATTCTTGTGCTCAGCGTCTCTCTCTCTCTCTCTCTCTCTCTCTCTCTTTCTCTGTACACACACACACACACACAAACACACACACACACACACATATATATATATATATATACTTTGTCATTTACTAATTGTTGTGTCTTACTTTGTTCAATGTTATGTTTTATGAATTGCCAGGATTAGCTTCTCAACAGATTCCCAATAGTTTGTAGACCAGTCAGTTCGTACCACGTCAGATTCTAACATTACACACACATGATTGCCTGCTTTTCCTACAACTGGTGAGATTAAAAATGGATGCAGCAGAATGAAAAAAAAAATATATGAGCTACGGGAAACAGCTACGGGAAACAGTTACGGGAAACAGCTACGGGAAACAGATACGGGAAAAATCTAGGAGAAGCAGCTACGGGAAACATCTAACATCAAAATACTGAAAAAGTAATATGTAGAAAGGTCGAAGTTGAAAATGACACAGAGAGGCCTCTGTGTGAGTTCTGGGGCTCTATCTTTTGGGGACTAGAGTAGACCTACTGCCTTACCAAGAAGCATGTCATAGTAGTCGAACAATTGGGGAGCATCCTTCGAATTCGGAGTGCATGTACCTGAGAGGCAAGGAACTAATAGTCTGCAAACAAATAAGCGAGATATGTGAAAGGAATATGCACGCAACATTTAGGTTCTGGAACAAGACTAAACTTATAAAGTGGACGAACACCCATAACTTTCCGCCACAATTTACAGTGAAGGCGAAGAAGAAAACGATACGGAGAAGAAGAGAGTGCATGTAAATATGTAACAGTCAACATAAAGAACTGAACTAGAGAAACTGAAACAAAATACCTTCAAAAATAAACGCTAAAAAAAAACCTGGCAAGGAATTCACTTACGCTGAAGAAGTAGAACAGAAAACAAGGAAGCGGGAGAGAAGTTTGCTGTTTACATCACAGATCCTTCACGATAAATTCAAACACTTCAGGAGGTACAGGTTGCTATGGGGCAAAAACTACACAGGCACATGGAT